AAAGTTAAGAAACTGCCTCTCCCCTCAAGCTTGAGCTAAGCCTCTATTTATAAAGAAAATTGAGGGATATGGGTTTGAAATTCGCCTAGCTACAGTATCTGTGACTTAGTAGGGTTCTTTTACTGAAATAGGTAAAGGTTTTGAGAGAGAATAGCCTATAGTTGACCCTTTATTCTTTGTATAACAAATTTTTTCAAGTATGGAGGTCTTCTCATGGATTTCGTGTGTTCAATGAGAGATTGGGGCGTACAAGACGTTACAACCTCGTATTTGGGGTTGATAGTGGCAAAAAATGTAAATTTGAAGAATTTTTAAATGAGATTTTGTCCTTTCTTAGTTTTAAGTGGGGACATGTTTGGTATTTTGAGMTTTTTAAGCTTATTTAGGCTCTGTTTCATTGGTCCAGGTGTTCTAATGGGTTAAGAATGGGTCTGACATCAGCCATCACCCTTCTGAGGCTTTAGATTGGAATAGATGACATGACAATTTAATCCGGTGTCAAACGAATGAATTAGGATATGAAATTTGATGTGTTGGRGTTTTTTGGGTCTCTGGACACAATGGTGATATCTGATTGGTCAAATAGGGTTAGGATGATAGAGACATATGAATGACATGTTCGGACTAATGAGATTTGCTGAAATATAATTTTTGTTTGATGAAGGGTCAAACATGGGAATGTTGGGATGAAATTTGGTGGGTTGGTACTTTTGAACGTCGTGGATCTAATGGATATTTGATCAGAGGTATAGATTGATTGATTTAGTTCAGATCATGGTCTTAGCTTATGGTTTTCCAATCAACGAGATGGCCTAAACTGGAATCTTACTTTTTTAATGGTCAAATGGAGGTGTTTGGTCGTGAAACTTGACATGGTGGGGTTTTCTAGGTTTTCGAACATAGTGGTAAGGTCTGATTGGTTATATGAGGTTGGGATGGCAGATGGTAAGATCTAATTAATGAGATTTGCTGAAATAGAATATAAGCTTGGCAATGGATCAAATGGGGGAATTTTGAGCTACAATTTGGTAAGAAGGCATGGATTAGGGTGAGGGGTCAAGTGAATGGTTCTGATATGAAAAAGATATGGTCGATCTTGGTAAGCATTATGGGCCATTAGAATGAGGTATTGATGTTTTTTGCGGTTAATTATCGTAGATTTGTAGTGGGGTTCACCAGTTGATTGGTTCCTAGTAATCTTAAGGTGATGGGTGTGTTGGATTTGATTTTGGGGAGTTGGAGTTTGAATATCACATAGATCGGGGCCTTTAGAAAGGAAGTTAACACGATGAATGGTGGATCTTTACAGTTTAGCCATGAAAAGTGATGTGTAACTAAGTTGTAATTTTCCAAGTCTGTAAATGATGTTTGATTAAGGTTCTTGTTTGTCCTATTGATTTGTGTCAGATGAGGGTATTTTGGGTTTTAGAGAGTGTCAAGTCAACATGATTGTGTTTCTAAGTTTTTTGGATATAAGAGGGGATACAAAGAGATAGGGTGAAAGGACCAAGCAAAAATTGGGTGCTAACACTATGTATAAAAATAATTTTGATATGTCACTCTTACTTTTTGTTTAATATGATAATTATATAATATTATACATGTGCATTATGTATTTTTGTATATCTTTTTTATTTGTTTATTTTATTAATTTGTATTATTTATCCCCAAAAGTTGAACTATTGATCTTTGTCAAACAGTAAAATAATTTCATTTTTGGTGAGTTCTAAATTATGTATTTCATTTTCGTTATCAATAAAATATCATAAATGTGTATAATTTTTCTACATTTTTGTACTTTGTATATTTATTTTTATTTTAAAACTTCCATTACCTAACTATGACTTTGTAAGTTTATCAATTTGATTTGGGTGGTTGAATTGCTTATCCACCACTTCGATAAATAATGGTTTTATTTTTGAGTTAGTTTTTAAAATATACGTATTTATATTGTTAAAAATATTGACATAGATCTAATTAGTAGCACTTATTAGTGAAAATAACTTAACTATAAGATTTAATAAGAGAAAATGAAACTTAATACGCTAAGGTTGCGTTTGTTTGCGATATAAACGCAAAACTAGTACATTTATGCACTCTAGTTCAGGTTTGTAGGCATTTGTTTGCACTACATTTATGCATCGTAAAGCAGTGGAAAATTGTATTTTCTAACAATTTCGTTTTGAGAATTTAAGACATTTTCGTATTGATTTTTTTTGATACAAACATTTGCTTCCTTCGAAGAGAGTAAACAAGTTTCACGGATGCATCAATTGTCCATGGGAGGTGGTCGTCGTCACTGCTAAACCCTGCTACAACAATAAGTTATTATTGTCTATTTCTTGCCACGACAACAATATATCTCACTAAAAATCCTTTGAATATGACCAGTAAACATGATTTTCCATCTTTTTGTACTGACCACTCCCTTATTTTTGTAGATTTGTGCTTACTATTTGTTGGTGTTTTTCGTTCAACCCAGCGCATACACGTGTTGTCCACTCTGAACCATCGTTTTTGGCCAATCAGAGTTATGTATTGATGGAACATAACAACTCTAACTTTGTTTTTTTTTATTTATTTTTTATTTTTGGCACTCAAGTACACTTCAAATCTTGCGTTATTTTCTACTTTGTATGTTTCAAGTAAACCCCACTTGCATATCTGAAAGCATATCCACTATTTCCTCTCTTTGTTTTTTTTAAAGCATATATACTACTTTTAATGTTTTAGGTAAACCCCATTTGCAAATTGAAAACATATCCCCATTTGTAGAGCATTTAATGTTTGCTCTGATGCTTTCTTCCAAACACTACTAAAAATGTACATGTGTTTGATTCGATCAGAAACAAAGAACAACAATGCAAATGGGCTAAGAAATGTTAACCCACTTTGCATTTGTGAACCCATATAGGGGCCTTTTTGCACTCTACATATTTGCGTTTGTATCGAAAACAAACGCACCCTAAGTATATGACTTAATGAGATGGGGTTAAATGAGGTGGAAAGTAACAATTGAAGCTATATTTTCAACTCTTACAATTAGAAATGAACTAAATAGATAAATATAGGCATTTTAGTAGTCATTAAAGTTGTAATAAGATGACTTTTATACCCTTTTCCAAACAAAGAAATAGAGGATAATTATAGTCAAAAGCTCATAATTAAATATGGACTAAATTAAAAAAAATGAGTATTTTGGTAAAAAACTCCACAATCTTATTAATATTTTAATAGTAGTGTAAATATATAATTATTAGATGTATTCAATTTTTTCTATAATTTTTGTATTTCTATGTGTAAAAATAATTCTTATATGTCACTCTTACTTTTTGTTTTATATGATAATTATATAATATTATACATGTGCCTAAATGTATTTTTTGCAACATATATATATATATATATTTGTAATTTTATATTTTATTAATTTTTATTATTTATTGCCAAAAGTTGAACTATTGATCTTTGTTAAATAGTAAAATAATTTCATTTGTGGTGAGTTATAGATTATGTATTTCATTTACATTATCAATAAAAAATAATTATTATTCATTACACTTATTTTTTAATTTGATTAACAAAAATATCATAAATGTGTCTAATTTTTTCTACATTTTTGTATTTTTAATATTTATTTATATTTTAAAATTTTTATTACCTAACTATGACTTCATAGGTTGACCAATTTGATTCGGATGGTTGAATTTCTTAGCCATCAATTCGATAAATAATAGTTTTATTTTTTAGTCAGTTTTAAAAAATATGTGTATATTGTAAAAAATATTGACATAGATCTAATTAATAGCATTTATTAGTAAAAAATAACTTAACTGTAGGATTTAAGAAGAGAAACTAATGCTTAATAATGAGAGGAGATTGAGAGGGTGTTTGGTTTCGTGGGTGTTTATTCAATAAATGTTGCCACGTAGGCATCACTTCAAGAGTTCYACTCTCTTTCTTTTTCGTATGCATCGAGAATGACAAAAGTGAACTTTTGGTTTTTGTGCACGCCTACCGTTTGGAAAAGTTATTTTTTAAAACTTCCACAAAACGGTTAGGCGTTTTTTTCACGGTTACGTTGATGTAGAGCCTAGTGGCACCTAATGGTCATAAACAATTGTAATTATTACCTTTTTCAAGTTTGCAAGCAAATAAAGTTCAAACGTTAAATGAAAAAACGTAAGCGAAACAAAACACATACTAAATGAGGTGGAAAGTTACATTTTTCAACTCTTACAATTAGAGATGGAGTAAATAGACAGATTGACATTTTAATAGCCATTAAAGCTGACATTAAAGATATAATAAAATGATTTTTATACCATTTTTTCAGACAAGGAAATAGAGCTAGGTTCAAAGTATCGTTACGTATCGGCCCGTATAGATCGATACGTATCGTTCTGGGACCCTTCCGATATGCCCCTACAGTGGGTATATCGGGGGTCTGACCGGTTCAGGGGATGGAGGGGTCCTAGACCGGTTCCCCTGAATCAGCTTTGAAAAAAAAATAAAAAAAGGTAAAAAACAAGTATCAAAATGCCTGATACTCCCCTACCGGCGTATCGGGCATATCGATATTTTGAACATTGAAATAGAGGTTAATTTTAGTCCAAGAAAACTTTCACTTTGCATTTAACTTTTATATATAGTGTAGATTGAATGTTGACCAAAATGGCTTCTTTTTTTTTTAATACTATAAAGGCTTTGAAAAACAAAAAAAAATCATATTTTTTCCTTTTTGGATAGTGAAAAATTAATAATAACAAAAAAATATTAATTATTAAATATAATAACAATAATAAATAATTCATAAAACAATAAATAAATAATAAATAGACTAATAAAAAATTGAAAATTTCCATTGATAATAATTCCAATTTCAAATGAACCAAACAACAATTATTGGAATCCCATTTAGATTCCATTCTGAACCAAACAGCCGTTAAAATCGATTTGGAATACTGGGGCTTCCATTTCGATTCTGATCGCGACCCAAACAGACCCTTAATTTCACTGCAATCTCATTTGCACCGATAGGAGTGGAAATGAGTTGAGAGCATAAGCGAAACCGTCGTTCGCCAGTGGGCATATCCCCATTCCCCAAGCTCCTGTTCGTTTGCTTCCACTAAAGTTCGCATGCTTTCCTAATGGCGATTTAGGGTTTCTCTTAAAGATTTTTCAAGCAAGGAAATATCGCTGTGATTGCGTAGTTTCGGTTTCAGAAGCTCTTTACTCGATCCAACATTAGAGTGAAAAAATGCAGTTTAACTGGGGTTGAAGTCTCTGAGTTGTTGATTTTGAGAAATCCCTTCTTTTTCAAGAGGAGGAGGTTTAAGGTACGGATTGTGTTCCTTCTCCTCCATTTTCTGTGATTTCCTCCTGATCTTAGTTCGTTTTTATTTTCCAGTTTGTATACTATAATCACAAAGGTACACACGCACACTGTTAACAAGCCCACGCAAGACACCGATTGCAGCAAACAAGGAAGAAAAAAAATATTACTCACTGTAATTATAACAAAAATTGTTATCATGAACCGAAACAACATTTCCAAAATTTCATAGGGTTTCCATCGAAATTCATATTACTCGACGTCAAAGCTCTACATTAGATTTGTTGCAAATGTGAAAACATAAAGAGAGGATGGAGTGAAAAACGAGAGATTTATTCACTGTAATGGCGATATGGCATCTTTAGTTTTTTACATGAAGATGTGTGTGGATTGAAATTTATGGACACTTAAAAGTAAAATTGAAAATGCATGTGAAATAGATTCTCATATTATTCACAATTTATTCTCCTTTCTTATTAGAAACCAATTCAAGATATTACTTATTAGTGATTACCTAGTCATATATATTGAATTGAAAGATTTGATGAGCCATTACCTGTTTCTTAGAAGACAGGACCCAACTTTTTACAAATGAATTACCGGTTTCCTCTACCAAACAAACAAATATGGAAACAGACGATTTCTTGCTAAGATGCTATCTTGTTGGATATTTAGAATATGGCCATTATCTCTCTCTCTCTCTCTCTAATTTTTTGATGATCCAGCACGAGGGTTCTTTTTGATAATATCATAACTATAAAATCCTTAAAACAGTATTACTGTGTTTGCATAATTAAAATGTATAGTAATGTTGATGACAGAATACCCTCAACATTTGGAACCCTCCCTTAATCCTTTATCTCCCCATGATGAAAAAAAAACACAAATTAACATATCTACATATTTATAGTTGGAAGATAAGGAGACAAAGCAGTAAATGTTGTGTCATAATTACCTATAGTAGTAGAAGCAATCCATAGCTTCTTTTTTCTTATTCATAGATAAATGGATGAATCAAGGGTAAGTACCCTTTTCTTTTTGTTGCTGCCTTTTGATGGAAATGCAGAGGCTGGTCAGCCGATACTGCAACGACCCAAGAGAGCAATCATCAAACCTGCACGATTCAGAGAATAATCTCTTAGTGGTCTGTCATAAGTCGTTAAATTCTGTTAGGACATGAGAAGTAGTCGTTATTCATAGATTTGTCCTTTCTGTTAGTTGTAACCGAATTTGGTTGAGGCTCTGTTATAAGTAGAGGGTACATGGGAAGTATGAAAAACAAGAAGAAATTCACTCGATCTCTCTTTTCTCCCTCAATTTTTCTGGAGCTCACCTCACGCTCGAAGTGGGGAAAACACTGATCTTATCATTTTGGTGCTTTCATTGCTTTCTCTTCCCTTCCCATGGCCGACCATACCACCGCTGGTGTTCACACTCGTCACCAAACCAGACTGGAGGAAGCCATTGATGATCTTTGCACTTCCCGTGATGCACATCAGACCAATCTAGACAACATTCAATCCACCCTTAGTGAGCTAGTCCGTCAGATGATCCTCCTCTGCTCAGATAAGACACCCGTTGATGTCGCTTCACCACTTCTATCCTCACCATCGGCTTCGTCTTCCTCTCTGACCATCACTGTTCGTCCCCTTCGCTGTGAGATCTCCCATTTTGATGGCACAAATCCACACGATTAGGTATTCCAGTTTCAGCGGTATTTCAATTTCCACCGCACCCCTGATGAGCAATGACTGGATATAGCCTCCTTCTACATGACCGGACAAGCACTAAGCTGGTTCCAGTGGATGCATCGGAACCAGCAACTGTCTTCTTGGACACACCTCACCTCCGCCATCGAAGAAAGGTTTGGACCCTCTTCCTTTGTTAACCACCAAGCCACCTTGTTCAAATTGCAACAAACCTCTTCCGTCACCGATTACCAATCACAATTCGAAACGATTTGTAACCACGTTGACGGCCTCACCCCTGAAACCATCCTCAACTGTTTCATTTCAGGCCTCAAACCTAACATCCAACGCGAACTAGCCATCATGAAACCATCTACCATTTCCTCTGCCATCATCCTAGCCAAGCTTGTGGAAGATAAACTCACCACTGACCGCATTCCCTCTTATTCCAGACCTTAAACGGTCCACCCCACCGCCACCGTTCCTTTCCCTCCACCTCCTTCGATCACCCTCTTACCACCTTCTAACCCGAAACCACCTCTGCTCTCCTTCCCTCCCCCATCACCAAAATTACCACCTAATATCCGCCGTCTAACTCTGGCAGAACAGCAGGTACGACGTACCCAGGGATTGTGCTTTAACTGTGACGAAAAGTTCCGTCCAGGCCATCGGTGCAAGCAATCCCAATTCCTTCTGCTACTGACTGATGATGACGATGGCCCTCCTGATTATGGACCATCAGATGGTTCCCAGACGGATGCTTCTTCAGTCCCCTCATCGGAGATTTCTTTTCATGCACTTCATGGCAGGGATTCACCTCGAACTCTACGGTTGCTTGCTACCATTCATGGCCACTCAGTTTCTGTACTCATTGACACAGGCAACACCCATAATTTTCTGCACCCACGGGTAGCTAAATATCTTCATCTTCCTGTTACTCCCTCACCATTTTTCTCAGTATGTGTAGGTAACGGTGAACAGCTCCGGTGTAATGGCAAGCGCACGGCGATTCCTCTATTAATTCAAGGTTTTCGTTTTGATGTTGATCTCCATCTCCTTCCCATCTTAGGAGCAGACGTTGTGCTCGGAATTTAGTGGTTACAAACCCTTGGACCTGTCACTATGAATCATCGGGCTTTAACCATGTCATTTGACCATAAGGGAGTGCCCGCTACCTTGGCAGGCCTTGCCCCTTCCCAAACCCCAATTCCAATAAGCCATCAGCAACTCCGACGAATCATTCATACCCAGTCTGCAGCAGCCTTCTTTAGTATAGAGACCCAATTCCTCCATCAAGGCCCCACAATTACTTCATCATCCTCGATACAATTCCATGCAGACATTCCTAGTGATCTCCGTCAACTGCTCCATAAATTCTCTCCAATTTTTCAGGCTCCCACTCAACTGCCACCTCCAAGGGAAATTGAACATCACATAAACCTCTACCCAATTGCCAACCCCGTCAGTGTTTGTCCTTATCGATACCCACATTTTCAAAAGGATGAGATTGAACGACAGGTTCGGGAAATGTTACAGATGCAGATTATTCACCCTAGCACCAGCGAATTCTCATCCCCAGTCCTCTTGGTGAAAAAGAAGGATGGCTCATGGAACTTTTGTGTTGATTATCGAGCACTTAATGCATTAATGGTAAAGGATCGTTTTTCCATTCCTACAGTTGACGAACTCCTGGACAAACTTCATGGTACCAAATTCTTCTCCAAAATTGACCTACATTCTGGGTATTTCCAAATCAGAGTGCATGATGCTGATATTCTGAAGACTGCTTTCCGCACTCACGAAGGGCACTATGAGTTTTGCGTGATGCCGTTCGGATTATCGAATGCACCGGCAACATTTCAAGCTACAATGAATTCTGTATTTCGGCCATTCCTCCGAAGGTTTGTCTTGGTATTCTTTGATGACATCCTTGTGTACAGTGCTTCTTGGACTGATCATTTGCATTATTTACACTCTGTTCTCACTACCTTAATGCACCACAAATTCTATGCTAAGTTGCCCAAATGCTCTTTTGGAAAAATAGAGATTGAGTACCTTGGGCACCTAATTTCAGCTGAAGGGGTGAAAGCTGATCCACAAAAGATCAGTACAATGGTTGACTGGCCTAAACCAAATTCCATCACTGCTTTGTGTGGATTTTTGGGCTTGACAGGTTATTACCGGAGATTTGTGCGCAATTATGCTGCAATCGCAGCTCCCCTTACAGAACTGTTGAAACACAATAATTTCCAATGGACTTCTACTAGGATGATGCCTTCCATGCCCTCAAAACTGCCATGGTGACAATACCGGTTTTAGCTTTGCCAAACTTTGAGTTGCCATTTACCATTGAAACAGACGCCTCCATAATCGCCATTGGAGCAATTCTATTCGCAGCAGCAGCATCCCATTGCCTTTTACAGTAAGAAGTTGGGTCCTTGGTTACAGGCGATTTCAGCCTATGTTAGGGAGATGAAGGCCATCACGACTGCTGTAACTAAATGGCATCAATACCTACTGGGTAGGCCATTTACAATCCTCACGGATCACCGAAGTTTGAAGGAACCATTATACCAAACCATCCAAACTCCAGAGCAGCAAAAATGGTTCTCTAAGCTTCTTGGATTTGAACTTACCATCTAGTACAAATCCGGCTCCTCTAATTCAGTAGCAAATGCATTATCCAGATGGTCTCATGTAGCTCTATCTTTATTTCTAGCTTTCTCTCAACTTGTGATCAGCATCTTTGATGAACTACGTGAGTTCCTTTTGAAAGATTCAGACTGCCAGTCTATGATTCGATCCGTTGATAGCAACTCTATTCAATACCCTCATTTCAGTTTTCAAAATGGCTTACTATTTTTTGACAACAAGGTGTATATCCCTCCTACATCTGGGCTACAACACAATTGCTTGAGGAATACCATTGTTTTCCAGTTGGGGGTCATTTGGGATATGCTAAGACCTTGGCAAGACTGCACACCTGTTTCTATTGGCCTACAATGCTCAAGGATACTAAAGCATTCGTGGCTAAATGCCCAATCTGTCTTGAGAACAAGTATGAAACCACAGCCCCTAAAGGATTACTGCAACCTCTTCCCATACCATCTCAGGTCTGGGAAGACATAGCAATGGATTTTATTCAAGGGCTGCCTCCTTCTCAAGGTAAGACTGCAATCTGGGTGGTGGTAGACCGCCTCACAAAATATGCCCATTTTTGTGCTCTTCCTTCCTCTATTTCTGCATCACAGCTGGCTGAACTGTTTGTGCAAGAGATTGCTAGACTTCATGGGTTCCCTAGATCAATTGTGAGTGA